TAAGAGTTTGCAGATTTTTTCATTCTTTTAGAAAATCAAGCCATTTATCAAATTTTTAATATGATTCTTGATATTAAATGTTTTATTTGTACCAATTTAAAAAGACTTACAGCAAAAGTACATCCTCGTCTTCATTACATGTTATTTTCTTACTCTCCTATTTTATCAAATTAGAAAACTTGTTTTGAATAACCAAAAATTTTATGATATTTCAATTTAAGCATTTGAACCAGAAAATATGATGGTTGGATTTAATGCTTTATAAGGAAGATTTAGGGCTTTTAATATTCTATAAAGGGGATTTCATTCCAAGGGATTTTCCTTCATCAATTGTTGAATTAAATGGTAAAACAAAAATTTAATTTGTTTATTAGTACCCCACTAAGTTTAAAGAAAGTATTACTTACAAAGGTCACTGCAAAATTTTAGATCGAGAAATAGTAAAGTTGTCCTACAAGTCTGCACGATTTCCAATAAAATAGCTATTAATTTAATTTACCAAAAATTCACCAAGAAGTTTTGATTAAATGTTTGCTAAGAGGGCTTTTGATCATTGGTATTCAACCTTAAATATTGATTCCCATTCTAATTTACTTTGGGAGAGCTTACTCTTTATAAATTTGTTCTTGAGTAGTTTCAACATTTTGATTATTCCTTATCATATTTTTTACTATATTGTGTCACATCTTTAACAATTGAAAGTATATTTTTAAACTTTATTTAAATTTAATTGAAATATTTTATTTATTTTTTCTTTGAACTTTTAATCTTTGAAATCTGTTATTGAATGCAATTCATACTGATTTAATTAGATTATCAATAATATGATGGTTTTAGGTTGGGTAAAGTGATTATTTAATTTATATTTAATTACTTTATAGATATTTTTACAGAATTTGGGCATCTTATATTTAATTACAAGATTTAATTTGTAAGCATGACTTATTATTACTATTCAAAACACATAGCTACAAATAGCTTGTGAATATTAATTAATTGCTTAATATGAATTATTATACTAATAAAAAGGTAAAAAAGGAGAATGGAAATGAAAGAATAAGTATTTAGAAGTATGAGTCATCCTAAAGCACTGCACAATTATTTATAATTAGAAGAGAAATCTTTTATATATAGAAAATGAATTCGGTCTAAAGTAGCCTGAAGTAATAGTATAGTAATAATAGAACAACTGCATAATGTAAAAATAGGTAAGTTAAATTCAGTACCATTAATAAATAAAATTACGAAGATAGCAATAAGATTCGTAATAATCTAAAGTATTATATAGTTTAGATGTGTATAAAGTAATAAGTTATGAAAATTAATAAATTTTGATGACATTAATGAGTTGAGAACTTGATCTAGTTTAAAAATCAGGAAATATATATAATAAGGTAAATGTTATATATTTTGTGACAGAAATTAATTAAAACGGTAAGAGGTGACTTATGCTATCTAAAGAAGCATGGCAATATATATTATAGGATCGTATATTAGTTGTAGCTAATCTTCAATTTTTTTGATTTAGACAAAAAAAATGACAAAAAAATAAATAATTTTGTAAGAGTAATTAACAAAGAATTTAGATATGGAATCTAGTAGCTTGCAAAAATAAAATAGAAATTTTTTGCCTTCTGAATTTTTCTCTAATCATAAAAAAACAATTATTAAAACTAACAGGTTTGAGTTATTTTATTAATGTATGAACTCACTAATATCAATTTATTATCCATTTTTAACTCCATCATCATACTATATACTTATTTAATTGTTAAAAATTAAAAGTAAATACATATAATATCTAATATTATAATTGCACTACTTAAATTGGATAATTTTATCAAAGAATATAAATCAGATGATTTAAACTAATGATTATTTATATTCACTTAATTCATAACTATGATTAGATTGGAAGTATAAAAGACCCATACTTATTATTCCACCATTTAGTATAATTTAAGCCCTTTGAATAAGCAAAACTTAAGAAGTAAAACATAAAAAAATTAAATAATTTAAAATAGCTTCAATTAAAATGTATATCATAAAAATTGATTTAAAACAGCAAAATTTGATCTAATAAATGTTTAAATTTTGACTTATTTGAACTTAAATCATACTTGTTTATTAAATTTTGAATTTACATATTCTCTGTCATTGCTATTATGATCATTATTACTCTTAATCTATCAATAATCTAAGGATAAAGCTGTACTTTAAAATATTTCTAAAAATTATTTTCATAGCATTTTTGGATTAATGATACTTCGTAATTGCTTTAATTTAGAAATGGTCAGTTTTTATTTCTAAAAGCCAAAGATTTACATAATTTTTATATATACTTTGTAAATTATATAATTAATGGGCAATAAACATATGAATGATAAAAATGATAGTTAATAGCAATTTTAATATGAGAACTGGGAAGGATGCTAAATAACACAATTAAGTATTTTGCTCAAGGGTTTAATCAGAATTGTTCAAGTCTAGTTGCAGGATCTGATTTTAATATTAAAGTATTTAAATTTGATTATGAATTATTGCAAAAAGCATAGCTGCTAATTGGATATTAAAGTTATATATAAACTTTAAATTTCATGAAATAGACTAATTAAAAATTTATACTTGGAAACATGATGGCTTAATTATCATATGAGAATTAAATATTTTGAGCAGTTTCTGTTATTGTAAAATGAAAATGTTATTATCAACTACATTAAGATAACAAATTTCAAAATTATTTTGATGAAAGAATTATCAAAGTTGAATATGTAGTTCAATTTTTTTTTGAAAAATTAATATTTGTTAATATATAAGTAATAAACGCTTAATAATCAATAAAACTAAACTTTTCCTTTCAGGTAGTTGTGATAGAACCATTAAGCTATAATTTTATGAATCATAAATAAGAATGGTAAATAAAGTATAATTGAGTATTCCGTTATATTAATCGATTAAGTTTAAATAAAAGTTAAAATAAATTAATAACATGTAGTTAAATTAGAAAATATTGATTATATAAAATATTGATGATAATTGGATTGTTATCTAGAAAATAGAATGATTTGAATTAAGGTAATGCTTTATTTTTGGTAACTTCTTCACTTTTTAACTCAATGGCAACTTTTGTATATTTATAAACTGGAATCAAGTTAATAAATTTTTGATAATACTTAAAAAAATTAATTTAAAACAAGGAAGTTGTGTTCGCACTTCTCTTCTTAATTAATAATTTATAAAGTCGAAATGGCATTTGAACAAAAAAATGGAGAAAATGTTCATTTCATAAAAAAATTAGATTAAATTCATAATCATGATAGCTTCCATTATTGTTTTTCCTCTATTATGGCAATATTGCAATATTAATTTATGTTTAATTGGCACTCCATAATTTTTAGTCATATTAATGATGACTAATATTCGTTAATAGTGTGTTTACCGATCAAAAATAATTGATAAAGAAGAGATAAATATGGAAAGCCAAGCATAAATTAAATTAATAATCAATATTTTTCAGAATTCTAATCAGAACATGATGAAAGCGGCTGTAAATTTGAAAGAGCAGCAAACTCTCCTTTGAAATAAGAAAACTGTTGAGATAGACTGAGTTAAAATCTTATAATGTGTGACGATAAATACACAATTTTATTCTAAAGTAAATATAATTATCATGAAAATTCATATTGTAAATACCTGATAAATTTAGATGGCCTTTAAATATGGCAATTAAGAAGAATGTAGATAAATAATCATAAGAGTACATTAAAATATCAGACTAAATCTGAATTTCCTTTTAAAATTACTGTAAGTGTTTTCAAAATTTTCTTTTATTTTTTCCTTCTGATATATAGCTTGTTATTTTTTAATCAAACTTCTTAACCAACAATTTGGATTAAAGATTTATGCAATACTACATTTCCATTACGGATAGATATAGTAATTAAATCTCAAAATTACTTTGAGTATTATGATGCCTTTTATTTTTTGAAAAGGATAATAAGTTTAATAAAGATGATATTAAAAATAAAATTAATTTATATTTTATACTTTATGTATGATAATACTTATCAATCTTTGCACTTTCTTATTTGTATTTCCTTTGATTCATAATCCCAAGTGATCAAATACTCTCCATCATTACTTAATTATCCAAAAATAATATAACTATTATATTGAATAGATTATTCTATTATAAAATCCCCATTTTCTTATTTCCTCATCAAATTAATATTACAGCCATTCTTATTTACCAGGAGGCATTTTTATTTAAAATATTATTATGGAAATAAACTAACATCATTACTTGAACCACATTTTACAGCAATTTGCTTAACTTTCTTATACCATTTAGTATTACTATCCAATTCATATAAATGTATTTACTCTTTACAAAAAGGTTAGAATGTAAATTAATTATCGTTAATAAAACATAATCTACACCCATATTAATCTACCTTTAACTTTTATGTAACACTCCATTTTTTATCCCACTTTAACAATTCTATTACTAATATTTATTAATCAGTCTAACAAGAGATCAATTTATTTTATTCTTCATTTAAACTTAATGAATATACCCAACCAGTATGATCACTTATGGTTTATTAACATATCCATTAATTCTATTTCATCCAAAATTTTATAGTACCATCTTAACTTCCTGAGATAATTAACTCATCTATGTTGTTCAGCAATAAACACGATATCTATTCTTAATGTCCATTCAATTTTTATTAACATTTCCATTAATTGTGTCCATTCTCCTACCATATTATAATTGAACGATCAATACTTCCAGATACAAAATTATTTGAATTTTTCATGAAATTTAAAGTATTAACATGATTTTTATGTTCTCTTAGCTATGAATATATAATTAAGTCTCCCTTATTTATGTTGAAAAACTTTAATGTCATTTTAAGATCCAGCTACTACGATTGAGTTATCTCTATTAAAAGCAATAGCACAATACCATTCTTATTACTTAATTGAATTTTAATCCATAAGTTCAAAAGTGAATGGGTTTAGATTTGGTTTTAATATACTTAAAGGCTTTGGTTATACTAAAATTTATTTATCAATATTGCAATGTAAACTTTTTAAAATATCATTCCCCTTCATATTTGTTTTATTCTTGATTTTCTTTAATATTTCATTTACAATCTATGTTATTTGTTGAATTTATTATTTAAGTTGTTTATATAAGTTTTCTTCGCAATCTTCTAGTTAACATAAATCTTTGATTAAATTGTCAATCTGTGACAGCCCTAAATCCGGGATTTATTAAAAATTAAAGTTATTATAAGAAAGGAAAAAATTTATTAGACTATCAAGAGTAATTTCTGTTGAAATTTTAAAATGATCTAAAGAAGATTTTAAACATATTTCTTCATTTGTTAGATTCATATAAGCAGTTATAAAATTCTCTATCTTTGAAGCCTGTTTTACACATATTCCAAGATTGAAATCAAAGTTAATATCTTTTTCACATAACATACAACTAATATTTGGTTTATTTATTTAATGTGTTATATGTCCTTAATTTAGGCTAATGAAGAATTCATAATCTACTTTATATTCAAAACAATAAAGAAAATTCTTTATTTTGCATAGTCTACATTCTTCAGCAAATGATGTATAATATGTAGGTTAACATAATGAATAATGAAAACCTTAGACTTAATATATATAATTTGTTCCTTGATAATCAAACTATAAATTTGGCATTAGAAAGATTATAGTTTTATTAACATTATAAGCAAATAAAATTATTATCTATAGTTACACCACAAACTTTGCATTCTCTTTTGTATACAAGGATAACAAGAATCCTCATCATAAGTAATGAGTTCTGAAGGATTTCAAAAAGACTAGAAATTTTTAAATTGTAACTTAAACTGCTCATAAAGACTAAAATCATCTTGAATATTACTCTACTATTCCGTAAGATTATAAGCAGAGATTAAATCAGAATCATCGAAAAGATAAAAGTTTTTCAAATAAGGAAATGTATTATCTATAGTTATGAAAGTTAGTTCATAAATATAATTACAGAATGGATATTCTCATTATGTAGTTACCTAAAAATAATAGAATTTTAGTTACAATTTCATACATTCCCCATCTATTTCAAAATAACCAAATTTACATTTTGCTTTTTTCTTTGTTTTACATTTAATTATAGGTCTGAGTCCATAAAATTAATGCATATATAATTATCATCAATTGAATCTTTTGGACAAATACATTTTTTATATTCTGGTATATATATATTCTATTTGATTCCTTAGAACAATTTAACAATCATTTAAAAGGACCATCACATTCTTGACAACCATAATGACATTTGTATATTTTTAAATTTTGCATACAATTGTTAAATAGCAAATTTCATACTATTAGATTTAAATAATTTAAATTTGATTATTAAATATTTAAGTATTTTGAACTTGATAAAATTTGATTGAAAATTAATACACTTTCTTACAAATTTATAAATATATATTGCCATGAAGTAATAGAATTATAAATGGGTAATTCCCTTCTAATTAAAAATGGATTATTTGAAAAGTCTTAAGCAACAGAAGGGAAATCTTATTTATATTTATATGTTGTAATTTGAATAGGCGAAATGTGATAAAATAATTGAAAGGTAGCTAAATTTTCATTTTATAATCTATCTAAGATTGTATTTATTTTCATAAACTAATAATTAAACTCTTCTGAAGATTGATAAATATTAGATATCTATAGCCATCCAGCTATTGTATAAGTATTACAATTTAATTGAAACATTAGTCAATTAATCAAGATAAATTAAATGAGCGTCTTGATTTATAATTTTCTTATCACAATTACATTAACATGTTTCAATCTTCCGAAAATATTGAGTAACTTTTGACCAATAATCAAAATCTATTGATATTCTCTTCATCTCATTGTTATATACTATTAACTAACCTGGATAAAGTGAGAATATTCTTCCTTATTCAATTTATGCGATATTTAAATTATCTATAGAGTAATTTACATATTAAAATATACTTTTAAACTCCCTCCAAATGTAAATATTAATTTTTAATCTCTATTAGGCATATCAAATTCTATAGTTTCTTTTAAAATTTAATTTTTTTAGAGTAAATTACTATTTCTACATTCTTTAAGTAATAATTTAAAACAGGTACCAAATAGTATCATATTATGAGGGTTCTATTTGTTTTGAAAATATTAATTATTCGCATTATATGATGTCTTAAGGGGTAATATGTGTTTCTAATTGATTTAAGTTCGAAATAAAGTATTTCAATTGATTACATTTAATAATCGAGTGTTAATTTCTTAATTACTACTTCTATAAATATTCTCTTATTATTCATTTAGTTTTATTATAAACTTATAATTCTTAATTGTTAGTTTTGTATTTCTTTTCCTATTTGTATTAATGCCATTTATTATCATTAAATTGTATCAATTCACTAAAAAATTCTTGTAGATTTTTCCGAATTGTTCAACTAAGAAAACAAATATTCTATATATATCAAACCCTTAGTAAAATATATTAATATAATAACTACTACTTGATAGTAATTAAAAAATTCATCATCTATAAACTATCAAAGCTAATCGTACTTATTTGGTATTTTCTGGACTTTCAATATATTCATTAATACTTTCTGAAAAGTAGAAAATAATTTAAAAATTTGAAAATACAAATATAGACAATATTAATACAAATACAAATATTTATGTAATAATTAAGAACCAATATAAAATTATAAGCAAAAATTCTTTACAATTAGCTTCATACTTTTATAATCAAATAACCTTTGTTTCCTTTTTAAGTTGTTTTGTAATTTTATCATAAAATGTTTAGGAATTAAACATATTTATTAAACAGAAAATAGAAATATTATACTTAGATTTATAAGATCAATAGGATGATTCTTTTTCTATTAAAATTCCAAAGTATAAATTTATTGTTAACTTTCTTAAACTTAATTTAACCTATTTCTTTAATTCATTTTTAATAATAAAAATTAGTATGTTTTAGTTATTAAAGTTTGATTATTTAAACTTCTTTTAATTATTTATTTTTTCAAAAAAATACAAAATTATGTCATTGGAAGAGATTACAGATATCGTTCAAACAATCTTAAAGGATTCATAAAATCAAATTTAGAGGAAATTCCAAAATTTAGAATAAAAAAGTAATTTATATTGAAGATTAACTGAATACAGAACGGAATAAAAATTTTAAATCGGCATAAAATCTGAAAATTAGTTTTACCAGTTTGGAATCCTAATTCATATATAGTATTTTTGAATTGAATGAAGCCTAAACGATAGCTAATTTAGTTATGGAAAAAACAGAGAAAAAAATTATGGAGACTCAAAAATTAAAAATAACATAAAATAAATAATTTGATGAATTATCAAAAAGTTTGAATATAATTAATATTAATAAAAAGAAGAAATGGTTTATAAAACATAAAGTGGAGGTAAGTATGATAAACAAAATTGCAATATACTATCAAATTATCCAAGTGTTATTCTAAATATTAAATAGGCTTTAAAATAAGGATTAACAGGTTGTAAGATCTGTAAAGCATGATTATGAATATAAGATTTCAATAAATTTAGAATATTTACTTTCAATTCTTTATATACAAGGAATTCTTTATGAATTATGGTGTGATTCTGGAGATTGTTCAATTCTTAAACTTATCAACATAATAATATTATTACTTTATTTTGATATTATTTATTTAATATTATATTTAATTGATGATAATCATAGTATAATTAACTATAATTTGATCAGAAAAATTTCAAAATTAGTTAGCTTAAGATATAGTTATCATGTTTATGGAATAATAAGTGATAGGAGAACCCTTTTGATATATTGCATTTAATATATAAAGAAGATTTACATATATAAAAATTATAATATATTCTTATTATTTTTAAAATCAATAATAAAATTATTATATTTCTGATAGCATTGCACTTATGGCTATCTCTTTTCGTTTAATGTATCAAATTTTATTTATTCTAAAGCAATTAATAATTACTTATCAATAATATTATATATATGTATTATATTATATATGATTTATTACGGAGTAAATATTAGCAATTTACATAGAGATAGAAAAACTTTTTTTAAAGAAAAAGTACCTATCAACTAGATAAATATAGTAAAAATTATAAGTTCATGAAGATCGAGTAAATTTTTTAAATTATTCTCTTGAAGGTTTCATCTGTGCAAGAGATGGTTCAATAATAATTTGGAATACTAAAACAGCATAATTAAATTATTAATTTAGTATAGACTATATTTTTAGAGAATATGCTTTTCACCAAATGGGAAACTAATAGCATGTGAGAAGTAAAACTATAATATTTTAATATTCGATGCTAGAATAGATCAAAAAAATCTAAATGGGCAAACTTTATTTTTTCATTTACTCATAATGAAATTTATCTTAGAATATAAGTATCTGGAAGAGTAATTTAAGAAGTTTTGTTGAATAGTAGATATTCTAATGAAGTCATTGGTAATAATTTTACTGTTGGTAAATTTGATATTCTAATAAATCAAAATATGATAGATGGACTTTCTTATATAGGAATCAAATACTTATGGGATAACTCTAATAATAGTATGCAATAAAATGAATATTTGGTTTGCAGTTTAAGCCGAATATTCAAATATGTGAGATGTTTTACATATAACACATCAATTAAGAGAGGGTGCAATCCTAAGAACAACTGCATAAATATCAACATCACTTATGGTTAAAGAGAAAATGAGGGGACAAAAGTGAGTTCTACAAAAAGTATATCTTCAAATAAACAATCCATTTTTCATATATTTAGCATATATACATAAATAATCATATCACATACACACAAGTATTAAAAAAAACCCAAATATATTTGAAAAAAGCAAAGGGGAGGGTCTAACTCTTTTGATGATATCATATGTTATTTGATAGAGGATTCCTTAATGAGAAAAAAGGTTAAAGCTCCTGTTTACATTATTAATGATTATAGGGAAAATGTGGAGGTAAAAGTCGTGTAAATACATACTTTCATCACTCTTTGATTAACAATACCAAAAAGTCTTAAACAATATATGTTTCAGGCTATCACCCCAAAGGTACTATAAAACACCATACTCTATTTTACACCATCAATAACCTTCTTTCTGCAATAGGAGAGGTACTTTAGAGGGTTCCATCTCTCTATACAGGCGGAGATAAAAAGAAAAGTAAAAAGTTTATGGAATTGGAGGAGCAAACCATTAATATTAAAGCGAGTAAAAATCCCAAAAAAGAAAATCTACTTTTGATAAAACTTTAGTTCTTTTCCTTATGATTTACTTACCCAAGTCTTATAAAAATTCAGGTATTTATTTTTCAATTATTATTTAGTCTCTAATTATCCAATTCTTGTTATATCCCAATAAATAATATTGGAAGCATAAGGAAAACATATCTTGTAAGAAGAATTTATAAATCATTAAGGGAAACATTTTAAACCTTTATTTAAATGCAAAGGAAGTTGCTTTTTAGAAGATTTAAAGTAAAAGTGAATTTGAATATTATTATCAACAACAATACAATTATAATTACAATCAATTTCTAATATTTTTTAATTATGTCTTAATCAGTTTAACACTTCATCTTCATATCTTAAGATTGATAAGTACATGTTTTTCCAAAGTCTTATTCCATTTTAATTAAATGTACACATCCTTTTCTTTAATATTATTATAATCTATGGTCAGTCTAGTGTAGGGAATATTTTATGAAATGTTATAAAAACTGTTATCAATTAATATTTTATGTAATTTAAATTTAAATGATACTACTTTAAATAAATATTCTACAAGGATTTTAACTGAGAATATTGAGCACAAAACAGCATTCTTTTTTAATCATCTCGCATATAATGATATATTTACTTAATTTAGTATTATGTATATTAGGGATTGGTATTAATAGTTATAATTAACAAATGTTATAATTTTTAGTTTTTTAGTTCATAAATATTAAAAGATAGTTAACAATTACTTATTATTTTATATAACAACAAAAATACTAAAAAGATATGTCAAGAATTTAAAAAATAAAGTTGATCCTACATTATATGAGCAATTAATATAAACTATAACAAAGTTAAAACAAATAGATTGAATGATTTTTTGAGAGTCTCTATTCGAGGTAATTTTTCGATAACTTTTTATTATTTATTACTAGATATAAAAATATTCCAGAATATGAAAGATATATTAATCATCAATAAGTATGATATAATTGAAAAGATTAACAATTTAGACAAATAATTTTAGCTCACCTATTACAATTAGAAGAAATAACCATCTAATAATCTTAATTACTGATTAACTTCAGCCTACATCCAAAGGAGCAACTTAGTATACACTTATTATAATTTTAACTAAATTAAAATTCATCTTATGATATACTTTTTAAATTTTGCAACATAATAAATGATATACACCATTGTCCTCTTCAAATTACCCTAAAATATTTTGAATAATTCAAAATAAATTGAAGAAGAATATTTTAAAGAATTCCAATTACTCTTGTTATAATGAAAAAAAAATAAGAAAATGATGACTTTTTTAGAATATTTTTATTAAATCATCAATTGGTTTTAAGATTATTAAATTCATTAATATTTAAGTGTATTTTTGAGATATTTCCCTATTTAGAAATGTAATTTCTACTACAATTATAAAGAATAATAAGTTTCACTACAACTACAGATACAATATACATTATAAAAAATTTAAGGTGTGAGTAAGTTATTCTATATTATTTATGAATCAAATAATGAAAATGTAGAATTCAATTCTAGATAACATAATTTACCTCTATTCTACTCAATTCCAAATCTTCACAAAGTCTGAACTAATATTTTGCAAAAATAAATAAGATACTTTTATCGATTTTGCAGTATATAAATTAAAGTTAGAGTAGTGGAAATTCAATATTAAAATAAAAAAGAAAATGTAGTGTGCTTTTAAGGAGGAGGAAGCTGTAGCTGACATCTTTACTTTAGTTAAAGATATTGATGAAGAAATATTTGGTGTCATATTAGAAATATTGCGAAAGGAAAAAGTTTAAGACTGCATTGGATATCTTTAAGATAATGGGAATCAAAGATATTAAGAATAATAAATCATACAAGGAGTGAATTTAACTTAGGTTGAGAATTAATAGAAATTTTCTGTTGTTAGAAATGACATGAAAATAATTAGTGATGTCTTAAAAAAAATAAAAGATCATGACTTCAATAACAAAGACTATTCAAGCGAAGATAATTAGGAATCTACATTAAGTCTAATTAATAGCATCAAGGATAATAGATAGATCATGGAATTTTTGTAATTTTTAGTTAGCCTTACCTCTATAGATAACACTTTAATATAATGTGGGTCTAATTCATTACATATATTAGTTTAGATGAAGGTGGACCTTAGAAACAAAAATTTTGAAAATATTAAAATCTAAAATACTTCTTTAGTAGGAGCTAATTTTGTTAGGTGTAATTTTAGTGAATCCTAATTTAATAATGTTAACATAAGTGGAATAAATTTAAATGGAGCGTTACTATTGAATTGTAAATGGAAAAACTTAAGAATCCATGAATTAAATAAATTATATGGTCACACCAGTTCAGTAAACTTGGTTTGTTTTTCTTCTGATGGAAATACATTAGCATCTGGTAGTGATGATAACTCTATCCGTCTATGGGATGTTAAAACAGGATAATAAAAAGCCAAATTGAATGGTCATAAAAGTTCTGTCAACTCAATCTGTTTCTCTCCTGATGGAACTACTTTAGCATCTGGTAGTGGAAATCTTTATGATGATAGTGATAACTCTATCCGTCTATGGGATGTTAAAACAGGATAATAAAAAGCAAAATTGAATGGTCATACTAACACTGTCAAATCAGTATGTTTCTCCCCTGATGGAAATACATTAGCATCTGGGAGTACTGATTACTCTATCCGTCTATGGGATGTAAAGACAGGATAATAAAAAGTCTATTTATATTTTCATGTTGATTGTGCCAACTCAGTCTGTTTTTCTTCTGATGGAAATACATTAGCATCTGGTAGTGATGATAACTCTATCCGTCTATGGGATGTTAA